CAGCGGCCCCAGCAACATCTAGCTGATTGGCTCCTCTGCGGTGATGTTCATTGGGCTGTTTCCCTGCCCTTTCAGACCACGGAGCTGCTCATTGGGGGACTTCTTTGGCTCCGCCCACGTGACCCAGCCAATCTGCCTCAAGAGCAGAATTGTGGGAGGTGGAGAGGCTGGTGTTGTGGTGAGAGGCTTGTGGGAAGCCGGTGGTGGCAGTTGGGCTCTGAGGGTTTTTTCCTGAGGGGCTGTTCTGTTTAGTGTGTGTGGTTCTAAAAATAAAGTTTGTTTCTTTTGACAAGTGGCTCCTGAATTGTGCCCAGCCAGACTGTGGCAGAGGACTCTGATGAAGATTGGTGCAGAGGAGCCTAAGCACTAGGCCCAGACAAGGCTGAGCCCTGGTAGGCCAGGGGCGCTATCCCACAGGCTCCAGAGGAGACTGAGCCATGATTATCTAGGGGATCGTGGCCCAGGACTCAGAGAAGACTGATCACTCTCTCTTAGGTGAGGGGCGCACACCCACAGAGCCTCCCTGAGGAGACCCATCACTGCTAGTGGGGCGCTTCCTCCCAGGACCCAGAGCAGTCTGAGCACTGCTGACTCTGTGGCTCTCCACCTCAGGACACACAGAGGAGTCTGCACTGGTGAGGGAGGAGTGTCCCCCCCCCCCAGAAACTTGGGGGGACTGAGCTGATGGGCAGTGGGCGCTCATGCTCACCCTCAAGGCCCTGGCCAGAGAGGGTCAGAACTGGCAGGAGAGGAGGGCTCCCCAGAGGACCCAGAGAAGTCTGAGCACAGGGAACCTGGGGGTGGTAGCCCACAGGACATAGGGAGACTGAGAACTGGTGGGAGAGGGGCCTTCGCCCATAGGACTCAGAGTCCTGAAACCTTCTGGAGAGCATATCTGAGCCCAGAGTCTCACCTACCTCCATGACAGTGGCACAGTGGTGCTTTTGTACTGGTCTTAGTGTGTCCTCATGGTGGTGGGAGGTTGTCTTGGGCCACGTTTCCCATGGTCTTGTCCAGGTGGAAATGGTGCCTGATCCACACACAGTTCCCAGAGGGTTTCCTCTCTCTCTGGTGAAGCACAGTGCCTGGTGGCATGTCTGAGGAGATCCTGACTAGACTTGAAACGTTGGCTTTCATCCTCTGGCCACAGGGACCTCCGAAATCCTGGGTATGTGGCAGTGGGCCAGAAGAATACAGTGACACGTGCCAGGTCATGTAAATACCGCTCTATTTGTGATGCAGCTAGATCCTCAGTGCTGTTTCAATGGAGGTACACTAAGGACGGCCTTTGTGGTTTCAGGCATGGGGAGAGATTGTGTGAATGGTGCAGAGGAAGGCCAGGCGAGGTGGTAGGGAAGAGGAGTTGTCCAGAGATGTCCAAATTTCCTCATTCGTGTGCACTTGGCCACCCTCCTCAGGCCACAGAGTGTGTTCTGTCATTGGAGGGAAAAGAGACCCAACCTCACAGTTCAGTAGGAGAGCCAGGAGGCACAAGGCTCACAGGAGACTGAGTACTGGTGGGCCAGGGGCACTCACCCACAGGCTCCAGAGGAGACTGAGCCATGATTATCTAGGGGAACTTGGCCCAGGACTCAGAGAAGACTGATCACTCCCTCTTAGGGGAGGGATGCTCACCCACAGAGACTCTCAGCACTGCTGGGGAAGGGGCGCTCCCTCCCAGGACCCAGAGCAGTCTGAGCATTGCTGGCTCTGTGGCTCTCCACCTCAGAGGAGACACACAGAGGAGTCTGCACTGGTGAGGGAGGAGCACCCCCCACAGAAACTCGGGGGACTGAGCACTGATGGTCAAGGGGTGCTCACCCTCACTCTCAAGGCCCAGGCCAGTGAGTCTCAGCACTGGGTGGGAGAGGAGGGCTCGCCCAGAGGACCCAGAGAAGTCTGAGCCCAGGGAGCCTGGGGGTGGTCGCCCACAGGTCCTAGGGAGACTGAGAACTGGTGGGAGAGGGGCCTTACCCATAGGACTCAGAGTCCTGAAACCTTCTGGAGAGCATACATGTGCTCAGAGTCTCACCTACCTCCATGATAGTGGCACAGTGGTGCTTTTGTACTGGTCTGAGTGTGTCCTCCAGGTGGTGGGAAGGTGTCTTGGGCCACATTTCCCATGGTCCTGTCCAGGTGGGAATGGCACCTGATCCACACACAGTTCCCAGAAGGTTTTCTTTTGGTGAAAACACAGTGGCTAGTGGCCTGAGTTGATCCCGACTAGACTTGGAAAGTTGGCTCTCATCCTCTGGCCACAGGGACCTCCAAAATCCTGGGCATGTTGCAGTGGGCCACAGGAGTACAGTGACACGTGCCAGGTCCTGGAAATACTGCTCAAGGAGTGATGCAGCCAGATCCTCGGTGCTGTTTCAATGGAGATCCACTAAGGATGGCCTTTGTGATTTCATCATGGGGAGAGGCCTGTGTCAATGGTGGAAAGAAAGGCCAGGAGAGGTGGTAGGGAATAGGAGTTGTCCAGAGATGTCCAAATTTCCTCAGTTGTGTGCACCTGGCCACCCTCCTCAGGCCACAGAGGGTGTCCTGGCATTGGAGGGAAGGAGACCCACCCTCACAGTTCAGTAGGAGAGCCAGGAGGCACAAGGCTCACAGGAGACTGAGTACTGGTGGGTGAGGGGCTCTCCCCCACAGGACCCAGAGGACCCTGAGCAATGGTCGTTGAGGGGAGATGATGGGACAGTTTCCAGACAAGACTGAGCACTGTTAAGTGAGGGGTGCTCACCCAGAGCACCCAGAGGAGCCTGAGCACTGCTTGGGCAGGGGGTAGCCAGCCAGAGGAGCCTGATCACTGCTGGGTGAGGGGCGCTCACCTGCAGGTCTCAGAGCCAGAGCACTGGAGTGCAAGGGCCGCCCACCCAAAAACATTCAGGGGAGTCTGCCCACCTGCAAACAAGGGTCTCACAACAAGAGGGTCCAGAGGAGACTGAGCACTGGTGGGGGAGGGGCACTCACCCCCAGGGCTCAGAGGACCCTGAGCAATGGAAAGTGAGGGGAGACACAAAACAGCAGCACCCAGGAGAGACAGAGCCCTGTGAGGACAAGGGCACACACCCACAGGGCCCAGAGAGGACTGAGTGCAGGTGGGAGAGGGGCGTTCCCCCACAGGACTTAAGAATCCTTGTAACCTTGTGGGGATTCTCCCTCAGCCCAATGTGTCAGGGTCCTCTGGGAGGGTGGGACAGGGGTGTTCTTTCAGAGGTCTGAGGATGGATACAAGATGGTGGGTGATTGTCCCTGGCCCCATTTCACATTTTGCTCCTGACAACGTGTGCCTTGCAGCCCATCCATGGTTCTCAGAAGGTTTCTCCTCTGGTATATAAAGTGTGCCCAGAGGCATGTCCCATTCCTGAGTTTCCTTGGATATTTGGTTTTCTAATATGGTCCACGGGGACCCCAGAAGCGCGGGCCATGTCAATTTATCCAGGAGAACCCAGTGAGATGAGCAAAGGTGTGCACAATGAGGGACCCAGCCAGATCCTTGGTGCTGAGGGCATGGAGATTCAAGGTGGATGCTCTTGTGGTCTCAGGCATAGGTGAGAGGCCTGACCGCATGGCATCACCAAAGGCCAAGAGAGCTTGTTGGAATGAAGAAATGTCCCCATTTCTCCTAGGTTGTGGTGGTGATCTGGACCCTGTGGTCAGGCCAGATTTGGTGGAGCGCCATTAGCAGGAGGGCCTCTCCAGCCCAGAGTTCCCTAGTTGAGCCAGGTGGCCTGGGGCTCAGAAAACAATGAGCCCTGCTTGGCCAAGGGCACCCACCCAGGACACCCAGAGGAGATTTGAAAAGGCTGGAGAGTCAACACTGGCAGTTTTGGTCCTGGCTTATAGGACAGTTAATGTCCTAAGTACTCACATCACTGCAGTATTTCTTCAATTGTCCCATGTTCTGTGATGACATTGGTACTTCTCTCTTGGTCTCTCTAGATCTTCCGTGGTCTCTGCCTCACAGTGTCCTCTCCCCCTGGTGGTCTGGCAACAGTCTCTAGGCAGTTTCTTTGGCTCTGCCCACCCTCTCTCCTTTCTATCTCTGACATTTGTGATGTCATAATGGCCTAGGGGAGGGGCAGGCTCAGTTGCTAATGCCACTGCAGGCTTGGAGAAGGTATGGGGGCCCTCAGTACTGGCTCTGTCCCCATAAAGCATAACCTTTCTTTGTACTTAAGGCTTTATGCCTCCTGTGGTTGTATTCAGAGACCTGAAGAGCCTCAGCCAAAGTCTCATCATGACACTGTTGTCACTCAATTTCTATTGTTTGGTTTAGGGTGCTCTCCTGGGCATCAGGGATCTGGGTTCACAATGTGACTGTGAAGATTGCGTATGAGAGCCTCAGTTTTCCATCCACCCCTGCTGGAGCTAGGGGCCTGTTTGTCCTCTGCTCTCTCAATCGGGTTCCCAGGCCTGCTCTGTAAACCTTATTTCCTTGATGCTCAGCCCTGGGACCCCCAGGTCTTCCTCTCCTCCCCGCCTCTTCCAGCTATTACCTGGCCTTTGTGAACCTCTTGCTGCCCGGCCCTGCTGGGAACTCCACCCAGCCATCCTGTTCAGGGTCTTCTGACCCTGACAGCAGGAGTCCCACAGACTCCTGTATGGTCCACATTAAAGGGTAGCAATAAAATCCCACCACAGTGGCAGCATCTGTCCTAGTTCCTGTGCCTTCTCTGATAGGTATATGTGTGACCAGGCACAGCCTGCCCCTTGCTGCAGGCCCATCAAGTGTCCTCAGTGTTACATAGTTGGAGCTTGTCCTTGTTACTTTCATTCCTCCCCCCACAGACTTCCCCAGGGTGCTGTGGTTAGAGGGGGCTGAGATGTCTGGGCCCACTGGGGAGAGAAAGGGACCCTGATGTGTCTTCAGGAGAGCCAGACAGCAGCATCAACTGGGGGTGGGGCTGTTGCCTGGGTGTAGAGGGGCCCGGTGCTCTCTCCTCCTCACCCCCCTCTTCCTCCTCTTTCAGGGTTCCTCAGATTTATCAAGAACTTCAAGGAGCCTGGCAATGATTCAGAGGCCAGTCTTCCCAAACCCCAGCGTCCTCAAAAGATGGAGAATGGTGTGTTCACGTCACAGGGCAGCCTCAGAACCTGGGCCCTGCCCTGGGTCTCTCTCCCCTTCAGCTCATCTCTTTGTCAGGATGGGGAGGGGACCTGGGCTTGGGTCTACTCCTGAGCAACACCCCACCCCTCTTTTTTGTTTTGAGACCAGATCTCTCTAAATTACCCAGGTGACTTCAAACTTGATCCTTCTGCCTCAGCTCCTGAGTAGCTGGGATTATAGGTGTGAGCCACTGTGCCCAGCCTCACCCCCCTTCTTCTTAAAGACCTTCCTTTACAACAGCCTGGTGTTGGAAAGGCTGCAGGAGTCAGACCCACACTGATGCCAGCCAGGAAGCACCGTGGGTCTAAAGCCACACACACACTTGTGGTAAGGTGTGTGAAAGGCTGAAGCTGGGTCTTCCTCTCTTTGAAAAAGGCCAAGCACACAGCCCCTGAAGAGGCTGCCCACATTTTGCATGGCTCCAGGGGAACATGTGGCTGCCACTTCACCTTCTAGTCCCCACATGAGGGAGCTCCAGGCTGGGGTGGCCCCTTCAGGCTTGTCACTCAAAACTCCCCACAGTGGTCTCTGACCCCAGAAAGGAGGGAGGCCCACCATGTCCCAGTGAGGGCTCCCATGATGGGGGCTCCCAGAGTGTCTCCCACTGGTGGTCCCTATCTGTAGCTGGGGAACTGGGTAGATAATAAATGGTTTCCTGTCCACGTTCTCAGGCCATCCCTTTTCTCTGTCCTAACCTGCACCACCAACTAGGCCTCTGGCATCAGGTGCCCTGGCTGGAGGCTCCCAGCAGAGTGGAATACCCATTCCCAAGGACTCTGTCTTGCTTTGCCAACTTGATGGATTTCCTATTGTTCTTAGGAACCATGAGCAGGGGCTGTTTCCTCCCATGGCCTTCTCCAGGAGCCAACCCAGGACTCCATGGAACCTTTCAGGTTAGGTCTCCAGAGGGGACTATTGTGAGGGGGCCCTTCAGCACTGGCAGGTAGCAGAGGAGGACAGACTGTGGGCTTGGTTCCTTCCCTCCCAGAGCCAACCCCCAGGGTGACCTACATTCCAGAGTCTGCAAACTTACTGCTCAGAGGCTCCCCCAGCCACAAGACCCCCTGAAACATGCACTAGGAGAGACAGGTCTAATTGGAGCTGTTCCTCTAAAGAACTTTCACACCAAAGCTCTCAGGGCCAAGCCCAGGGTTCTCCTGGGAGGGCTCAGTTGCTAGGTGCCTTCACTGCTCAGAGAATTCCTGCTTTTGATCCTGACAGGTCTCAGGGAGTCCTGAGAACCTGGGGGCTTTGCCCACAGACACCTGTTTGTTCAGGACACATCAGTCATGGATTCTGTCCTTGACCAAATTTGGTCCAGGATTCTCTTGTAACAGGCTCCCCTAAAACTAGGAATTCTCAAGAAGTCTCAGATTGCTTTTTCCCAGCCTTAACCAAGGTTCTACTGACCTGTTATTTATTGTCTCCCCCAGGGCTTCCAACAAATAATTCCCTAAGGCCAGAAGGGTGAAACAGGCCACAGGGGACAGCAACCCAGGCTATACTCTGCTTCTTTCTGGACAACAGGCTCCACCTTAAATGCTCCTCCTATGAAGTGGGAGTAGGGGGGCAGATTCACTCTCTTCCCAGGAAGACCAAACTGCACTTCATTTGGTTTTCCTTTTCATTCTGTTTTTTTCTCGTTCCTGTTGCAGGTTGGCCACTGTGTCCAGCCAGTTGGGACCCAGGTTTCAGATCTCTGGCCTGGACCCAGGACAGAATTTGGCCATGCTGGCAGGACTATAGCCCTCTGCTGGAGACACTGGAGACAGCTGCCAGTGCTTTCTCAGGGCTGGTGGACCAGAGAAGGAGGGACAGTTAAATGCCGCAGTCTGGCTGGGCACAATTCAGGAGCCACTTGTCAAAAGAAAAGAACTTTATTTTTAGAACACACACACCAAACACACAGCTCCTCAGGAAAAACCTTCAGAGCCCAACTGCCACCACTGGCTTCCCACAAGCCTCTCAACCTCCCCCACTTGTCCTGCTCTTGAGGCTGATTGGCTGGGTCGTGTGGGCAGAGCCAAAAAAAGTTCCCCCAATGAGCAGCTCTGTGGCCTGAAAGGGCGGGGAAACAGCCCAATGAGCATCACTGCAGAGGAGCCAATCATCAGCTGGCAGCTGGAAGTTTGCTGGCAGCTGAAAGTTTGCTGGGGCCCCTTTTGGCTGTGGCTCTCAACATCTCCCTCTCTCTGTTTAAACAACAAGCATGTGGCTTAGGACCGTGCCTGCCTTAGGTTGTCCAATAGTACATATGGTGCTTACCCATTATCAGATGAGCTGACCTCAAGGCGTCAGCCTCCTGTCTTAGGTTGGTACCATTGCAATTGGATCTTACCCGTCACTGACTACCGGTCCAGTATACAGCCACACCTGTGGATAGGTCTTTGTACCAGAGGGGGGTGAGGTGAGGCAAAGAACCTCAAATTTGGCCTGTTGGCCCCCAAATTTTAGCTGAACTACCATGACAAGCAGAAGGGAGGAAGATACATCAAGCCAATTGATGGCTCCTTTTGGAAAAATTGTACCACCGATGACATCATCAGCAAAAATACCCCAACACTACCACAAGTCGCTGCACCAACAGATAGTTCACAATGCATACAAGTGAGTTCACAATGCATACAAGTGATACATAGTCCAGGCAAGTTCTGCAAGCAGTTCAGTGATGGCTCCTTTTGGAAAAATTGTACCACCGATGACATCATCAGCAAAAATACCCCAACACTACCACAAATCGCTGCACCAACAGATAGTTCACAATGCATACAAATGAGTTCACAATGCATACAAGTGATACATAGTCCAGGCATGTTCTGCAAGCGGTTCAGTGATGGCTATTGCAGAAGCTGTAGATTGGTTTTATCTTTGTCTTCACCGGCACTGAGATGAAGATAGGAATTCTGGCAATAATGGCTAAAGAAAAAATTATGTAACTTTCCACTAAAAGAAAACAATTTTCTTAACAATTTACATTATCTTGAACAGAATTATTAAATATAATGAAAAGGAAAGGTGAAAGTAAACAAACAGATCTGTTAACCTCCTTTTTTGTTCACATATTAAAACAATCCTCAACAGCTGTTTACCCAATTTAAATCAAACCATTTAAATCACGTGAATAAAAAAATATTTGGATCCATTTTTCATGAGCACTCATCATATATGATATATGGACATATGTACATACAAATATACAACATAAAACACAAGTGTGCACACAACACAATACATACAACACATAACATAATAGTAAAGGCCTTATAACTTTTTACAGGTGAAATCTCCATTGCAATGTTTAAAAACTCTATAATCAAAAAATAGAACTGATCAGCAAAACAGTAACCTAGGTCTGTATGAGCTCAAAAAACAAAATAGAACTTCATGATGTGGGAAAGGGTAATAATAAAATAGATATTGAAAAAAGCATCCTGGTTCTGTCGCAGATGTAAGAATAGCCAAACTGGAGTTTTGGATATCAGCTGTTATGGATTTGAGCCAAATCATCTTCTTTTTGGTCTGTAGAAATTGCTTTAGTTAATCTCTCTGGAATCCAAATCGGCTGCTGTTCTCCCTGTGGAAACATACAAACAGACCCCTGACAGACAATCACTGGGTCAGGACTTTTGTTAATCTCTCCGGAATCCAAATCGGCTGCTGTTCTTCCTGTGGAAACACACAAACAGACCCCTGACTCCAGACAATTACTGAGTTAGGACCTTTCCATTGTCCTGTTAGAATATCCTTCCAAAGTCCCTTTTGTACATTTTTTTGGACACATATGCCTTTCTGCAGCACTAAGTCCTGATGAATCCAAATTTAAAAAGTTTAGAGTAAAAAGGGTTATTTTAAGTTTATCTTTGGGGAATATATACCCCTTCCCAATTCCCTCTTTTGGCTTTAATAAGTACATTTTAATAGTTTGATGAGCTCTTTCAACTATGCCTTGTCGCTGTGGATTATATGGGATTCCTGTTATATGAGTAGTGCCAAATGATGAGCAAAATTGATTAAAAGAGGTAGAAGTATAACCAGGGGCATAATCTGTTTTTAACTGTTTTGGAACACCCACAATGGCAAAATTTTGTAAGCAATGAGCTATAATATCTTTAGTTTTTTCTCCAGCATGAAGGGAGCCCATCAAAAATCCAGAAGAAGTATCAACTGTAACATGCAAATATTTTAATTTTCCAAATTCTGGCAAGTGTGTGATGTCCATCTGCGAAATATGGTTAGGTATCAATCCTCTAGGATTGACTCCAAGATTAACTTGTGATAAAAAGGTCATACAATTTTGACATTGTTTTATTATTTGTCTAGCTTGTTCCTTAGTTATTTTAAAATGCTTTTGTAAAGTATTAGCATTGACATGAAACTTTTTATGAAAATTTATAGCTTCTTCTAGTGTAGAGAAAATATGTATGTCATGTGTAGTTTTATCTGCTAAATCATTGCCCAAACTAAGGGCTCCAGGCAATCCTGTATGTGCCTTGATATGTCCTATAAAGAACGAATCTTTTCTGTCCCAGATTAGACTTTTTATAGTGGAAAGCAAAGAGAAAACAGTAGAGGAAGGGGAAATCCTACCAGCATCTTCAAGGGATACTATAGCATTAACTATATACTGACTATCGGAAAATAAATTAAATACAGAATCTTTAAACATCACAAAAGCTTG